GCTAGTGAACCATTAAATTGAATCAAGAACAGCTTGTAAACTGTGTTATTATAACGATGTTCTTTGGACTAGAAAATATTGATAGATGGTGTTTTTTTCTTCATATTATCTTTAGATAAACAAAATGGTGACAGAATAGTACAAACATATTATTATCACTGAAGTAGCATGACTGAAAGCATCACTTATGAGAGCTGAAACAATCAGTCAGGGAACATGATGAGCAAGTCAGTGAAAACACTTCCAACTGAGCAATAGACATCTAGTATTTTTAGACCTAATTTCAACCGTCTAGATTCTGTATATTTTTAGACGGATTTGGACGTTGCACTTTAACCCATTATTTGATAACTATTTATTTCAAAAAGCAACTGTGAGGAGCAAAACTGATCTCCAAGTACTTAACCCAAATAATTATGATAGCCATTAATTATTGAGCCATTGAATATACAGTGTAGTATAGATATAGCCCAGATTTAGATTTAGTCTAAACTTAGTCTAAATTTAGATGTCTAAAAAACTTTAATTTTTAGACCTGTGTTAGCCTGATTTTAGACCAGTCGTCTAGGCTACATTTAGACGTCTATTAGACCTCTTTTAGACCAAAAAAAGCTCAGTGGGTTGTCAGTTACAAAGGCTCAGAGTCTGAAAATGGCTGCCAAACCTGACTGTAAATGACCAAACCTGAACCACACAGACACAATTTAACACTGCTGCCTCTGTAAAAGTAAACCAGACTCCAGCCCAAAAAGCTGACTCCCTGTGTGACCGTACTTTGCTACCCACATAACGATGTTTCAAAATGAAAGGGCCAATCTTTCCTTTTTGGACAAGAAGTTAAAAAGTGAGAGGTATGTCAGATGGTTAAAAGAGGCTGAAAGAGATTTTTTGAATAAGGATACTTTGCACTCACACAGGATCGAGTTAAAAAAAAGATCAAATGGGTCAACGGGGGTCATCGAAACCATCACAAAATAAAGTTTCTCACGGTTGCTTTTGTGAATCCAAAAAGGATTTTTGATAAACTGATTTTCAAATTATTTATCACAGCCAGTGGCAAAATGAGTCAGCCTGGTAGTCACTTTACAGCCTGCCTTCTTTGTGCATCTCCTCATCTGGAGTGCAGATTGCTGAGTTACAAAGGTAGCTTTGTCCTCATATAAAATGAACTTGTAATTGATGTAAAAGAATCTCACAAGTGTATATCTTGACTGTTAGCGGCTGAGACAGGTCTTAGCAACGGCTCATTACTTTAACGCCCTGGAACAACGACGCTGTCCTTGAGTTTTTTTTTTTTTTCTTAAATCATTATGACGCATGAACATAACATGATAAATACATATGTTAACTATCAGTGTTCCTAAGCGCTGCTCACTTGTTGCTTGCCTAGTGTCACAACATTACAACCTAATGCCACATCAGCTGTGAATACAAGTACAAGAGCACATACTCGATGAAGCAGTTACTGTGATATACAGTACATCATAAACATCTAACATGACATGCTCAGTGGGAATATGTTTTCAACCAGAAAACGCATGATAAGAAAGTCTTACTTAGCCTCATCAGAGCATCACTATCTGGGCTCTAGCTTTTCCTTTTCCCCAGGTTATCTCTTGTGAAGCTCTTTTCTTGTGTTGTATTTTTTAAAAATCTGACTATATAATTGTGACACATAAATAGAATTCAATATATACGCTTATATAACTGTAATTTTACGCCATAGGTATTTATCAAGTATGCCATGAGTCACATAGCCTGGCTTAGAGAAAAATGTAAGGACTTGTGGAGGAGCTGAGTGTGATTGTGGCGTACATGTGGTGGATATTATTAGCAGTAATATCCTGATTATTTACTCTCAGTGCATGCTCAATGAGGCCCCCTGTTAGCCAAGATCCTCCTTACAGCTGCATTACCTACTTGTTTTGTGGCTGCAGCCTTCATGACTAAATCTGTGCTCATGCTTGAGATAAAAATAAGGCAAAAGTACAGGCATGTAATGAGACAACTGCTTTCTGCTATCCACCTTGAATTCACCCCTCAAAGGAATGCAGGCTCCTCTGGTTTGGACAGGAAATGGGGGAGTAACGGTTTGCACACCAAGTTCCCATTTACGACCCAGGCAACCATTTGGGAGGTGATAGTGAATCTTTAACGCTTCCCAAAAAGGACAAGTTGCTTATCAACCACACAGACCCATAAACACGGAGTCTCTCACCCTGGTTGGGAAAGATCAGAATTGACACTTCAGGATTAACCCAATGACCTAGGGGGGAAAACAGGCCAGTTGGCGCCAAATCTGAAAAACCAGATGCCTGCCATAAATTCCTTGGCTTTCTTTACAGAGCAGAAGGAAGAAGATGACTGAAAATGGTTTAACTTCATGTTTAATGGACACTTCACCAGGATTTTCTGTCTGTACACCACATTCTTAATGAAATGGTCTTTTTTCCAATTCTGTAACATATCCACAAGCCAAACTGTTAACTTCACAAATTTATTCCAGGTTTTCCATGGACCAAGAGCTCCTCCTAGTGGTGATGCCTGAATATGGTTTGATCAGAGCCAAATGGCAGGAATCTAATCACGTGTATTTCTTTCCTTTTGTTATACACTTCGTAGCTTAGTAAATGGTATTCCCAAGATAGGCTAGTAGTTTAGAAGTAGTAACGTGAAACTCGTTTAGACTCAAGTTAAGAGTTTCGGAATGTATCCATACTATGTTTTATCTACCTCACACAAAAATATATATTAATCATCTGGGAAGCTTGATTGACAAGGTTATAATGTTGTCAAATATTATTACGTATGTGTTTCTTATGCTGGATGGTGTTTCTGTTCGAATAGATAATTTGTTTTCTGTCCCTCTCTAACTTTTAAAAGTCGTTAATCCTCTGTTAGTGTCAAGAAGACGGCTGATCAAAGTTTACTGTTTTCAATGTCATGCTTTAATGCGTCTGCTCATAAGAAACAATGAAGTGAAATGTGATCGTATGTGATGTTATAAACAGTTTAATCATAGTGAGTGAGTAAATTAGATCTAGCTCGCTTTTAATATCAAGTTGAGTTAAATTCGCTGCCAGTCGATGTGCTGCATCGGGTTACAGCATTGGCTGTAACTTTCCTCTTGGCTCACGCCCACACGGGATGGTTTAAAAGAGCCCGGGAGTCTTTGCTCGGTCTTCAGTTTTTTTCTTCAGTTTTGTCTTCTCTTCAGTTTTTGTCTCTTCCGTTTTTGTCTTCGTCTAGTTTTCTTTTATCTTCGTCTATCGTTCGCAATTTTCCCCGCGTTTTATTAATTGCCTTAAGCTCAGATTTTTATTCTAAACTTGGATGAAAGCATTCCCAAGTCCTTTAGAGCCTCAGTAACAAGCTGCGCGCATAAGAGAACCTCAGTCTAAGTCTTTTTATTTTTGTTCGCTAAAGTGACTCCTGAAGATAATATCGGCTGGCCAGCGAAATTATTTTCTTAAGTTATTGGCGCGAATTAATCTGCAACCAAGCAAGTCCTGAACGCCGACCAGCATCATCTGCCAAGCTGCTTTGCCACCTGGTTCCGAGAGGCCCAGAGATCCGAAGTATCTAACGGCGCTGACACGGTCCTGAAGCTGAGATCCAGACACGGCGGAAGAATTCCCCGCCGAACCTTCAGTATCCGGTCCGGTAGCCACAGAACTTCAGCTGATCCATTCCAAGGGTGCCGCTGAGAACCGACGTCCAAAGTAGGCTAAATCCTCTGAACTGCTGTGATGAGAACTGGGTGATGCCGTCAACCGTTCAGTAGCTTACTCTTATAAATTATAGTTTAGTTCTCCAAATTCCTTTTATTTACCCTCGTAACTCCGTTAACGTAGGTTAAATTTCCCCTTTATTCACTCACTATTATTAACCTCCAGTCTTAGGTTTAATTTAAACCATTCCTTCGTTTATTCATTAGATGTGCTTTGATTTGCTCATTATTTGATCATCATTTATTGACGTTTTGTTATCATATAGCTTGTTAATAAATTGTCCATTTAATTCTAAGTTGTCGTCTTAGTGGTCTTTCAGAAAGTAGTCCCTGAATGAAGAATTCCGGCCTCAGATGAGAGACTGATTTAAATCTGTGTAAGACTGATCCAACGTTTAATTACTCAATTGAACTTTGTTTCGTCCTTTTTCCCACCAGAAAGGTGGGTGGTGCCCCTTCAACGAGTGCATAAATGTCATAATTTAATTTGATTAATTTTCGACATTTATTTTGAATTTAAAATCGCTACAGTATTTGGTGCGGCCGTGCGAGGCCATTCAAACGACTTCTGTAAGGCACTAACAGACAACTTTAAGATTATTTTAGATTCCCAAACTAGTGAGAAACCCAATTTCCCAACTTAGACTTCTTAAGATCTATGCTATGCTTGCTGAAATTACTGGATTGCTTGCTTAATGTATGTCTGATGCTTTTTGAAATTGCTGAACTGGGCGTTTGATGTATTTTCTGTTTCATGTTCTGATGATATTGAGCTCTGTGTAATAGCGCTGATTTTTTTTGCTGCTGCATACTTTTGTGTGTGAGCGTAGACCACGTGGATCATTGTTTTGGATTGCAGCGAGGCTGCGCTTTCTGCTCTGCGCGCCGCCGCTGCGCGTACCCAGATTGTTAATTTTTGAGTGCACGATTTTCAGCGTCGCCGTACGCTTGTATTAGAAGGCCTTGGGCCGGACCCGGTGTTCGCGAAGCTCCGAGCCGTGGTTCCGAGTCCCTGAACCCTGTATAGTCTGCTACGAAGTTCTAGTAACTGTAAAGGATTCAGTTTATCCCTCATTCCCCGGCAGATTAGCTACCTGTCGCGGGAGATCACTGTTTCCAGTGAGAGGTTGTTAGAGTGATTTCAGACACGATTCTTTTTCACAAATCGCCGCATTTCGTGAATTTAAGTCCGCAGTTTTGTCTGCTGTTGTAAGAGCTGTCTGTGTAAACTCTTGTTACTCCCAGAGGAGTCTGGTGAAGCAATCCGCTGTTAGAGACGCAGCGTTGAATCTTCCCATTGCCACTGCGCGCGCAGCCGCAGTGAGGTGTTAACCCTTTGGTGTCCATTGGAGAGACTACTCGGCCAGTGTTGAATAGGCAGGCCACCCCGAGGGGTGGAGCCAATAGTTACGTCATAACGTTGCGTCGCGACGTACGGAGCGGTTGAACCGCCCCCTAGAACATCGCCCTCGTGTGGTGAGCGGCAAGCACTGCAAGCCGGCTCACAGCCACGTGGCCTTTGTTTTGCTTGGACCTCATTGTAAACAGACTGCAGTCTAGCCGACTGCCACGCCTCCCTGTTGTCAAACAGATGCCATGCAGACATAGTCAGATTGAGTTGGTTGATTGAGTCTTTAGTTTCTGTACTACAAATAAAACGTTGATTTACTTGATAAACAACTTTTATTTTTACTTTATACAGATAGATCACCTGCCTTATCAAGGAGAATAGCTGAATCAAATCTTTGTCATCCTGTAATCATTGTTCATTGCCTCCATCTTTCTGTGACCCTTTATAAAACACTTAAATGTGATCACAGACTTAGGGCAATAGTTAATTAATTCATTAATGTAACATTAATCAATTAATTCAATAATTCCCTAATCAACCTACGATCAGAATTTTTGTTTTATTCCTTTAGGTCAATTGAATTTGGACAATTTTACTTTGATTATCTGGTGAAGACTTGAAAGATTTAATTGCATCTACAACTGCATTGTTGATCCTGATTACTTTCAGCTTTTAAATTCCTTCCACGCTTAGCTGACAATCCGCTATTTACTTTTAAGGTTTCCCTGTACTCCTTTCTGTAAAGTTTATTTGACCAAATCCGGTTTGGACTATGAGATTTGGCTGTGATTAGGTTTGATTTTTGTACGTAATTCTTTTTCAGCTAAAATCCAAATTCTGTTTTAGCTTCCTTTGTTTGTTTCATTCCGGAAATAAACATCCAGCTATTTTAGCGTGAACCAGACTTTGCTTAAAGCGCTTATCTTCTGGTCCTAAATTCACAGCTTTTCTCAATTTGCTTTATAGGCACGGCTATTTTGTTAAACTCATTAACCTACCAACCTTACTAAACTTGAAGTAACATGGCAGAACGTAAGGAGGCAAGTTGGCAACTATTTAGTGAGGAGCTAAAGCATGCGCTGACAACTCTGACTCAGCCGCTGCTCCCAGGCTATGTAGACGAAGCGAATCGCACTGATAACAATGGGCTTCAAACTGTGTTGAATGAGGTGATCGATTGGGTTACAGAACACCCACCTAAAGAGAAAGAGATCCCCAAAGCTTTAGCACGCTTGGCTTGTGTGATGTCTGTCCAAATTAAGAGACAAGACGAAGCCATGGGAAGGGCCCAAGAACAGATACGGGCACAAATGAAGGAAATTGATGATCTCAAAAAGGAGCTGGGAGGCACTGAAAGGGCTCTACAGCAAGCTCGAGACAGTTTGGATGAGAGGCAAGCAGAGCCTCCATCCCAACATGATCAAAACCCTTCCTTAGTAACTCAAATCTCAGAGTTGCATGACACCATTGAGGAAAAGGAAGCTCAGCTTTCGGACGCTAGGTCCACCATTCATGAACAATTACAGGAGTTGTCAAGAATGAAAAGCAACCTAGATCAGTCCTCAACTGATGCAAGGGACTGGAAGGCCCAGTTTGAAAGTAAAAGGGTGGCCCTCGAAGCAGAAGAGAGACATTCTGCTAATCTAAAGCAAATGCTCCTCGAGACTCAGAGGAAATTTAGTCTGGGTCAACCACAGCAAGATCAGAGCGGGCGAAGCTCGCCAAGCAGTCAACAGACGCTTCCATTCCCTACCTTCCGACCGAGTCGTGTCCCCAGAGGACATTCAGGTCGATCAAGTCCGGATGACACCGGACGGAACTCGGGTCATACTTTGTCGCCCCTTCCCCAACCAATACCTTCCGGGTATCGTTCCCTGAGTTACCAACCTCAGTCCACGCCTGCTGCTCGTCAAGCGGCATATCCCACAGACAGGGATCTGGACAAGATGGCTCGTAACATCACACGATTTGAACCCGGTCGAAAAGGTTCAGAAGACCCAAGCACCTACTTGAAAGACATCGACTTCTACTTGAGGAAGTTTCCAGGTGCTCTTGTGGATGACAAAATCTACTTGATCAAAGCTACCTCCAATCGAGAGGTTAGCAGCTTCATTGAACGACAACCGCGTCGGGTCAAGAATGACTATGACCTGCTGTGTCAGGCATTAATTGACGAGTTTTCTGACTCCCTTACACCCACTGGTTTAGCTGCTGCACTGTTAGTCAAACAGGAGAGACAGGAATCTCCCCAGTTGTACTACGGTCGCCTTCGCCAGGCTTACTTTGGTTGTCAAAATGAACCTGAAATGGAGGAAGATCTAAACTTTAAGACTTTGTTTGTTCAAAACCTCCATCCGACCACGAGTCATCATCTTGGTGTTGCTGCTTGTCCCCGAACCTTAAACAGCAGACAGCTCCGCGAACTGGCTGTAAAAGGCTTCGCTAAACAGCGACACACCCAATCCAAGAAAGCCGAACCTGGTACTGTCTTGGCTGTGGACACAAGGTCCATGCCCCTAGATCTGGAGGGCGGTGCCGTGGGTGCGCATTCAGATGCACCTCAAACTGCAACAGCCCGACCAACCCAGAATCTGAAAACTTCCCGATATCAGCCAGCTGATAAAGGTCAAAACCTGAAGCAGCCTCGGTCTGACAGTGAACAACACCAGGTCAGATTTGACGAAGATCGTCCACCCTCGTACTTCGCAGGGATGGGGCTCACCCTAGAAGGGATGACACCCATCGGCCCTACCGACCTGATAACAGGGGGTGGAGAGACCGGTCAGATCGTTATGGCCCACGCCGAGAACGAAACTCAGAGCGACCTTACCCGCAGTCTCAATCAGCATTTTCTGACGAAGAGATGGGTACAAAGGCCAAATCAGACCCTCCCCAGAAGGGTAGTGGATCTAAAGGCGGAGCTAAGGGTGAATCAAAGTCCTCTGATCTGACAGAGGAAGAACGTAAACTCCTTAGACAAATAATCCGTAGAATACAGAGAAAAGGAGATAAGAAAGCAGATCTCTTCTCTGTCGCTGTCGCCGCCGTCCAGGATGACACTTCTGAGCCAAACATGATGCCTGTCCAGCAAACTGAATTTCAGGAGGACGTGTGTATGTCCTTACAGGAGTCGGTGACACCCTCACCAGCTGACACTCCTGCCGATCTTGAACCTCAGGACAACACATCACAAGAAACGACATCTACCAGCGCCGTCTTGGTAGTACAGGCGAACTCCGCAGAGGAGCCAGCCGAAGAAGACTCCTCACTTATTCGGCTTGAACCACCTTTCCTCCAATTCTTGTGCAACCTCACTGAGAAAGGCATCGCACAGAAGTTTTACGTTAATACCGTCCTTGAAAATGAACTTCAACACGAAGCACTCCTGGACACTGCTGCTGACATCACTCTGATGTCCTCCACGCTCTTTAATCGCTTGCGCAATATGGTGCAGCAGTCCAACAGGGACATCAAGCTGCAGCCCTGCGCCATGGAGATTCGGCCGTACTCTACAGACAGTACGACTTTAAATACAATGACGATGTTGAACATCTCCATTGGACCAATGAAAATCATGCACCCCGTGTATGTGTCGCCCCTTGAGTCGATTCCTTTCCTCATCGGTCAAGACCTTTTAAAACGGTTTGAGCCCCTGATCGACTATCGACAGCTGAAAATATGGGCACAGGTCCGCAGACCATTACCCATACCAGCAACCGACAAGAATCGGGCTCAGTGTTACGCCTTGACGCGTGAACTTGCTACAAGCACACCGACAAGTGTAAGCTCACCGGAACAACCCTACTTGACTGACGACGAGCCACAACCCTGCTCGTGGCCTTTCGATGACTCAGTCATAAAAAGGGACACATTTTTGTGCAAATTCGATGACACCAATGGACCCGACACACCCGGGCCATTGATCACTGAAGGCATCAACTTGAATGAGAATCACGTCAACGATGTGATTTTGGCTCTTTGGGCTGACAGATCAGCCATCAGCCGTGAACTGTACGACGCCTTGTCTAGGGATGACCCGAACCTCCAGTGTGTTCGGAAAGCATTTCGCTTCCCCTTGGACTCCCTTCCTAAAGCTACCATGACTGCTGAAGGCGTCTGTGCCTTAACTGTGCGATGGAACAAAAGGGAGATGACTCACCACTTCTTGGTCATCCCAGACCTACCATATCAGGTCTACATGGGAAGTGATATACTGGTCAGGTTGGCAGTCCAGGTCGATACCATTAACAACATACTGTGGTCCCTTACCAGTGTTAATGAGGAAACCCTGACCCCTGATGTCGACAACATCATATCAGGACAGTCGATCCCTGAAGCCTGTCAGGTAGCCAATGAACTTGACATTGTCATACCTGCAATGACCACAAACGTTCCCATTCGCTTGAACCTACAACGTGGACAAAAGCTGTCGCACACTCAAGCTTTCTTCCAGCCGTCGTTGCTCTTTCTTAAACTAGGGCTGTCTACTCAGGCAACTCCTCTTCTTGAGCTTCACTCGAGATTCACACACTTGCTTGTACAAAACACGACACCCGAAGATATCCTGATCCCTAAATCCACCCCGCTGGGTTGGTTGATCAGCACGTCGTTCCACGACTTTGAATTGAGGATTCCTGTAATAGGAAAAATGCCCCGTTCTCTGATGTCAGACCATTCGCCGGAACAGGTCTTTCATACCCTACCTTCCAGGGCTATCTCGCTCTTCCCAACTGTACCGCTGGACCACGACACCATCTGTCAGGTCGACCTCTCTGAGGACTCACAGATGATCCTGCACACAGTGCAAGTCCTAAGCGTCAGTTCGGAGCCAGAATCGGCCCATACACTTTCCGGGGTAGAACCCTCTATCTTCCCAACCGGGCAAACACCTGAGCACGATCCAGACTTTGATGCCAAAGTCGAACAGCTCGTAGCTGAGGCAGACGCCCTGAACGGCGAAGAGGAGCGTGAAAAGCTTCGCAAACTTCTGCACAGATATCGAGCCTCTTTCGCAAAAGACTCGCTTGACTGTGGCTTAACCTCTATCCACTCTATCCGCATTCCGACACCACCGGATGCACCACCAACTTTTGTACGCCAGTACAAAATTCCCTTAGCGTCCTATGAACCTATTCAGGAAATCATAGACGATCTTTTGGCGAAAGGGATCATTCGGCCATGTAACAGTACCTACTCAGCCCCACTCTGGCCGGTACTGAAACCAAACGGTAAATGGCGACTGACCATCGATTACC